CAATGAGATTAAAAACAAAAATAAACAAATGGGACCTAATTAAACTTAACAGCTTTCACACAGCAAAGGAAATCATAAACAAGATGAGAAGACAAACCTCAGAATGGGAGAAAATATTTGCAAATGAAGCAACTGAAAAAGGATTAATCTCCAAAATATACAAACAGCACATTCAGCTCAATAACAATAAAACAAACAATGCAATCAAAAAGTGGGTGAAGGGCTTCCCTGGTGGCACAGTGGTTGAGAGTCCACCTGCCAATGCAGGGGACACAGGTTCGTGCCCCGGTCCGGGAAGATCCCACATGCCGCAGAACGGCTGGGCCTGTGAGCCATGGCCGCTCAGCCTGCATGTCCAGAGCCTGTGCTCTACAATGGAAGAGTCCACAACAGTGAGAGGCCCGCGTACAGCAAAATAAATAAATAAATGGGTGGAAGACCTAAATAGACATTTCTCCAAAGAAGACATACAGCTGGCCAACAAACACATGAAAAGATGTACATCACTAATTATTAGAGAAATTCAAATCAAACCTACAAAGAGATATTACCTCACACCAGCCAGAATGGCTATCATCAAAAATATACAAATAATAAATGCTGGAGATGGTGTGGAGAAAAGGGAACCCTCTTGCACTGTTGGTGGGAATGTAAATTGATACAGCCACTATGGAGAACAGTATGGAGGTTCCTTAAAAAACTAAAAATAAAACTACTATATGACCCAACAATCCCACTACTGGGCATATACCCTGAGAAAACCATCATTCAAAAAGAGTCATGTTCCACAATATTCATTGCAGCTCTATTTACAATAGCCAGGACATGGAAGCAACCTAAGTATCCAGCGACAGATGAATGGTACAGAAGATGTGGCCCATATATACAATGGAATATTACTTAGCCATAAAAAGAAACGAAATTGAGTTATTTGTAGTGAGGTGGATGGACCTAGAGTCTGTTTTACAGAGTGAAGTAAGTCAGAAAGAGAAAATCTAATACTGTATGCTAACACATATGTATGGAATCTAAAAAAAAAGAAAAAGAAAAAAATGGTTTTGAAGAACCTAGGGGCAGAACAGGTATAAAGACACAGATGTAGAGAATGGACTTGAGAAACAGGGAGGGCAAAGGGTAAGCTGGGATGAAGTGAGAGACTGGCATAGACATATATGCACTACCAAATGTAAAATAGATAGCTAGTGGGAAGCAGCCGCATAGCACAGGGTGATCAGCTCAGTGCTTTGTGACCACCTAGAAGGGTGGGATGGGGAGGGTGGGAGGCAGATGCAAGAGGGAAGTGATATGGGGATATATGTATATGCATAGACGATTCACTTTGTTATTAAGCAGAAACGAACACACCACTGTAAAACAATTATACTGCAATGAAGATGTGTAAAAAAAATAAATTAAACTCTACACATTAAAATTATTTTTTCACATGTGTATGAAAATAACATTCTGCTAGAATAGTATAATGTGTAGATCTAAATCATCTATTGTGCCTGAAGCTCAGTGGAATTTTTTTTTTTTTAATTCTAGAAATTCAAACACTTCATATCTGTGCAATTACCTGGTATGTGTTCATTGATGATTTCCTTTCTTCCATGCTTTTTTAAATGTCCTCCCTCAGCCTCCTCTTTATTTAAGATGCCAAAGGAGAACATTATATTGAACCTACTGGATTGATCTTCTAATTCTCTAATTTTTTCTCCATATACTATCTCATTTTCTCTTTGCTCCTGTTTTTCAAAGATTTTCTCAACTTTGTCTTCCAATATTTCCAATATTTCTATTGAATTTTTTATTTCTACTCAATTAAAAATATTCAACATAATTTTTGTTGTTCTCTGGTGTTATTTATGACATTTTAAAATTATTTTATAGATTCAGTATCTTGTTATCTTTTTGAGAATTATAGTAGTTTTATTTTTGGTTTTCCTCAATATTATTATTTACCTAAATTCATTCTTTATCTTTGTATTTTGTTACCAACTGTAGTCATAAAACAATTACAGTATTAATTTTTGGTATTGATATAATGCTTACTAAGGATGTATTTCAAATTTGCTCCTTAGCTTCATACCACTCTATGAGCTGGGAAGTTAATAATCTTCATTTTAGAGATAAAGATAATTAAATGTATTGCCCAAGGTACCCACAGTGTTAGTAATAAAGTTGCAATTTTAATCCAGACAGTGTACATCTGAAATCTAGAATCTTAAACATCACAAACTCTTATTTCCATTGAAAGATCATACATGGTGTATATTGTATAAGGAAGGAGTAATGCAAATTCTGTTTTGGAAGCTCTGGGTATGTAGGTAGGATTCGTCAATTTGAGTTCCACTGTAAGATCATCTGAGGGGGCCATCTTTTAGAGAATCCAAATACCATTATATTTAGGTCTTTTGCCTTTGGATAGAAAATTCCAATACCCTGCCTCAACTGTAAGTCTCTGATTGTGTCAGTGTTCTGGGAGCTGAGAGAGCAAGACAGTTGGGGGTAAGTTTGGCATTCAACATTCATTTGGCAAAATCAAGTGCCTCTTTAATGGAAGCCACCAAGAAAATTTTAGACAAAATTAAGCTATCTTATATACCGTCTCTTTGTTCCCTTCTTACCAAGATTCTTTCTCAAAATTCTCATCTCCCCTAACTGTATCTTCAACTCATTCTGACAGGCTTCAATTTCACAACTCTTTTGAAATTGTTATTTTTAAGGTCACTGGGAGCTCTATGTTGTCAATGTCAATGGTATCTTTCCTTCTCTCAACTTTATCTACTCTTAACCATTTTTGACATAACTGAAAATTCCTTATTTCTTGCAATTTCCTTTTTTACTTTCATATCATATCCTTAGTTTCTTTTATATTTAGAAAACTTTATGTATTAATCATGTTTTTTGTTTGTAGCATTTGATGCTTTGACAACTTAGGACTTTGCTGATCTAGGAGAGCCTGCCCCTCACAGGGCTGAGTAATTCCTAAAGATAGCAAATGACTTCTCTGTGAGTGTGCCTTTCATGAACCAATCAATCCAAAGCCCGTACCCCCAACCATCTCCTTTACTGGGCTCTCATAAGGCTCTTAAACTGAAAGCAAATATTCCCCTACTCTAATTACCCCAAGTCCAGGTACCAGACAACTAAGGACAACGTCACACCCCAGAGCTTGCCAAAATTATTCCAACTAGACATAGTTTAGCTTTCCTTCTTGTAAAAACCACATTCTTTTGCTTACCTATTTCTCCATTTCTTCTCCCTCCTGACCAACCCTGATGTTTCCCCATGTGGCTATGCCTCATGTTCTAGTGATCTGTAAATATAAAAAGCCTTCATGACAGTCATTTCTGTGTCTGCATGTCTTATCATGACTGATAAAAACAAATTCTTGGTACTTTGTAAAACAGCGTATCTTCACGTTTCCCTTTTACAAGGTTCTAATCAACTGCTCAAGTAACAATGTCAGCATGACCTCAATATTGCTGCTGAAACTTTCCCTCTTCTCTTTCAGCTAGTGAGTTCCATCTCTATGCATCTCCTCTCTCGACTTCTTCAAACGTATATATCCTTTCTAGATTTTCTCCCAGAGCTATGTATCTAATTATTTAATTAACAACTCCATTTGGATGTCTAACAGGAATTTGAAATGTAACATGGCCAAAATAAAATTCTTAATTTTCTCCAAATTGTATTCTTCTTCCAATGTTTCCTTAGTAAATTTTACCCTGTACACTCAATTAGTCAAACCAAAACCTTGCCATTATTCCAGAATATTTCCCTTTTCTTACCTTTCAATCTTTTCCATCTTTACTGCTATCACTCTACCCTAACATTATGTTCTATCTAAACTGCTTCAGTAGCAACCAGAGTGATCTTATAATGAAGATCATGGCACTGTACTGCTTCTAACTGTATATCATACATTGAAGACAATAAAGACAGTCCAAGTTGTGCTCCAATGCATTCTAGGATTTCTACTATTTAGTCCTTGCCTACCACTCTCTCTCTCTCTAATAAATACATACTGAGTTCTAGCCACAAAGGCTTTCTTATTGCTGTACACCCATGCCAGCCTCAGCTAGGTACTCTGCCAAGGGCTTGGCACTGGGTAACTTCTCTCTCTGTAACTATTCCTGTAAAACTTTATGTAGCTTTTTCCTCCTGGTCAGGAGGAAAACTCTTAGCCTAATATAAGCGTAATATAAGCCCTTCAAAAGTTTCTCCTCTGAGCAGTTTTGTTTTTTTTTGCCTTATGACTTATTATTTTCAGAAATTATTTTACTTGCTTACTTGACAGTGTCTACGGAACCTAATATATGTAAGTCACTTATGAACCAAGACCTTATTTTAACTTTACATCTCAAGCATGTAGAACTGTGATTGACACATAGTAGGTCCTTAATATAATTTTGAAGATGAAATTAATAAACTATAAATACAGTTGTCTATTTTCAAATGGAGCCAAATTTCAATAAATTTAAGCCTTGAAACATGTATGCATTTTGGTTTGGTATAAAGTATTTCTTGAGTACTTGTTTAACAATTTTAGTACACTGGCCTTTCCTGACATTTGAAAATTCCTTTTAAATTTCCTCAAATTCATTCAGTCCTGAAACAGAAAGCCCAATGTATTTGCTTTATGACTCTATGATTCCTTTCTTATTTACTGAATCATATTCCTCTCACACCAGGCTTATTTTTTGAATATGACAGTTTTAGAGAGGTTATGGATGTTTAAGAAAAATCCTAGTAAGCATTTATGGATGCTAATAACACATCCATTAATGTTACAAACAAATGACTATGGAAAGCAGGACATGTGTGAAGAAAGTTTTAATCCTGATTTTTAAAATTCTAATCATTATAATTGATGTTTTCCTCCAGTTTTAGTATAGTAGGACTGATATTAAAACTGATATTTTTGGAATATCTTTTTATTTTTTAATATATATATTTTTAAAGAAGATGTTGGGGGTAGGAGTTTATTAATTAATTTATTTATTTTTGGCTGTGTTGGGTCTTCGTTTCTGTGCGAGGGCTTTCTCTAGTTGTGGCGAGCGGGGGCCACTCTTCATCGTGGTGGGCGGGCCTCTCACTGTCGCGGCCTCTCTTGTTGCGGAGTACAGGCTCCAGACGCGCAGGCTCAGTAGTTGTGGCTCACGGGCCTAGTTGCTCCACGGCATGTGGGATCCTCCCAGACCAGGGCTCGAACCCGTGTCCCCTGCATTAGCAGGCAGATTCTCAACCACTGCACCACCAGGGAAGCCCCTGGAATATCTTGAAGGCAGTTTCTTTCCTAAAAGCATTTGGGGCTACAGAATGAAAATAAAATACTATTTGTATTGTTATAGAACTAATATGCATATATTATTAAAACTGTATCTCAAATGGTGAGCATTACTTTGATTGTATAGTGAAGATTCAACTTATGGAAGCTCCAAATTTGTAGACAGATAAGAGGGGAGAAAGAGTGATTCTGTGGTGTAGCCAGGTTTAGGAGACAATAAGCTTTTCGGGAAATTAGATGCCTTATCTAATTTGTATTATCACTTGAAATCCATGTGCTACCTGGTGGCCATTCTGATCCTATAAAGAGTGATGAGACAGATATAGTTTGTACTAAAAGACTCTAATCTTCACTTTTGTGTGTGTGTGTCTATGTATATTTAAAAAATGATGGTATCCGTATTCTTGCTTATTGTTTAATTACCATCTATGAAATATAGATATAGAACACTTGGAACATAGGGAAAGAAGTATGGTAAAAATATTTTAATTATATCACTTTCTCGGTTTTGTTATCTATCCTAACACTTTTTAGTGTTTACTACATGAAATACAAAAGCTGCAAACCCAACAAGAATATTTGTGTGCAAACTGCCTTATGCAATATTTCCTAAATGTTGAACCACAACTTTATATTCTAAGACGGTCAAATTCTAAAGAGTTATGGTTCTGAAAAGAGCAGCGATATGCCTCTGGGACTGAAACATATAAAGTTTAGAGAAGGGTGTAAAATTAATTGTGAACACTTGCATAGCACTTACAGTGTGATTACCACTGTTTTAAACACTCTGCATACATTGCTATAATTAATTCTATCAATTGCCTAATGGTGTAGGCACATTAATAAAACTGTTATATAGATGGAAAAACTGAGGACCCAGTGGGGTTTAAAAAATTGCATAAGACACACAGTGAATGCACCTTAGAGAGAGGTTTATAAAGCTCAACAATCTGATGCCAGGCTCTAAACCACTACGCTATGGTTGCTCTAAGTTCTGCTCCTTCCTTCTTTCCCTCCCTCCCTACTTCACTCACTCACATACTCACTCATTCATTCTCTTTATTTACCAGGCCATAAAGATTAATTTGAAAAAGAGCATCTGTGAAAATGTTCCCGTTCATTGACAGATCCAGAAATACAGATCTTAGTAAACCCAGCTATAGGATTAATCATCTAATGCATTATCTAATGCAGTATTTTCACCTATGAATAATTGCATTTTACCAGAAATTCCTAATAAAAGATTAAGTTTCTAATATTTTTTAATTAAATGCCTTGAGCAATCTGATTGTGCATATTTTTGTTAAGAGGATTATTTTGACTATACTCTCCAGATCAAAGGAAACACTTACCTTCTATAAATCTATTAAGCCCTCTATAATTTATTGGCTATTATTTTATTTAATCTTCCATTCATTAATTTATTCATTCAGTAAATAGTTTTCAACGTCTATTATGTGATATTGCAGGCACTTCTCTGGAACACAAAAGTGGGTAAAACTAGATATGTTTCACATACTCACATCATTTATGGTATTTGTGGAAGACTGATATTCATCCAATACCTACTGAAATAAGGGTAAAATTCCGATGTGATAAGTACTACAGAAAATGAGAAGGAACTCAAGTTATCAGAATTTTTAAGTGGAGGATTCACAATTGCTTGTAAGATAGAAAAATGCATCTCTGTACAAGTGACCATTGCAATGATATCTGAAAAATAAATAGGAGTTAACCATCTACCATCTACCTATTGCTGTTTGTATGGTATAAGCTCTTAAAGAAAAACAGTTTGAAATAGTTATCTCAGTGTATACACTAATTATCTGGGAGAACTCATCAATAATTTCCCCTTAAAGTTGAGTCACTGATATTCCATTTAGGAAATAACTGTCTGGATATTGTAGGGGCCAGTCTACTGAATCTGAAAGGTTGAAATCTCTCCAGAAAACTTGAGGATAAATGTTGAATTTGGGATCTCAGGGCAACTGAGCCTCAGTGATCTTCATGGCCATATAGATGTGTGATAAAAGAGATGACAGTTGTATGAATGTATTTGCCCTTTAATGTTACATTGCTGAAGTTGCAGGCATCACAGCTGAATGAAAATGTCAGAATCATAAAGCAAGCCTAGGGGCTATACAAATTCTCAGTATCTAAGTCTTGTAAACCTGGTGTATATCTCACAATACACAGAGTATTAGATACTGTAACAAAGGAGACAAATGCAGTATTTATCAGGGACACTATAATTTTGAGACAAAAGCTTTACTCATTACACAATGAATAAGTCTTATAAAAATTGACTGTATATTTTACTGAGGCCAGACCATTATAGTTCAGAGAGTCTATTAGTCTTTTTTCTTACAGGTATGACATTTATTTGCAAAATAATTCCCCAAATGCCTTTTGGGCGGCATTTTAAGTTCAAAGAAATAAACTGAAGGCATTTTTCCACTACTAGTTATTAGTCAGGATCTCTTCACATCAAGGTTGTTTTTTGTCTCTCTCCCTCCCTCCCTCCCTCTCTTCCTTTCTTCTTTCTTTCCTTCTTTCCTTCCTTCCTCCCTCCCCCCTTTCTTTCTTTCTTTCTTTCTCTCTCTCTCTCTCTTTCTTTCTTTCTATTTCTTTCACATTCATCACTCAATATAAATTTTACCCTGGCTAAAATGTTTCCCTTATGTTTTGATTTACTCTTAGTGAACTAATTATATTCGCTATTTAGATAAAAATCAAATATGAAACTAGGCAAAATTTTGGCCTAGAGTTCAGAGCTGATTCAATGGGATCACACAAATTTTCACTTTGTTCCAAAGCATCTGAAATACAATCCAGTAATCACAATAAGAAAATACTCTAATGTACCAAGTGAAACAAGGTTATCCTCAGTATCTTAATTAAGTGCAATTCTAAGGACTTGACTTTGGAAAATGGACAGCAATCTGAATTAAAAAACCTTAATAGCTTTACCCATCTTTTCTTTCAGTCCTCCTCAACTGACTGACTGACTTATTCCTAATATCTTGGCTTACACACCACTTGCTCAGAGATGTTTTTTCAGCATCCCCAGCCCCCCTCCAGCCCAATCTTCTACATAAGACTTCCCATATCTGCTTTCACAGTGTATTCTACTTCTCTTCTGCAGTATTCATTATACTTTTAATTACCTCCTTGGCATATGTATTTCCTATTAGATTGAAAACTCTGTTAAGGCCTGGACTTTGGCTCATATGTATTCATTGCCCTATCCTTATACCTATTATAGTACCCCTTGACATAGTAACTAAGTTATCAATAATGCTTGACTGAATAGATGAGTAAATGAATGAATGAATAAGTTGATATGGACCCTGGAAAAATTCTTAATTCACTGTGGTTTGCCTTCTGCTTTCCAGTCAATTTTTTCTTATCAGTTCTTCTGAAAATTGATGCCATGTGTCAGCTTTACTTATGCCCAGGTCTCTCAGTGTTTTGTGTTTGTTTTGTTTTGTTTTGTTTTTTTCTTTTTTGCCTTTTTTTGAAAACTGCTTTTTGGAGCTGAAAGATTATTCCTACAACGTTGTATATGAGAGCTGATAGTACATAGAAGTTTCCCTTATATTATGAAAAGAGTCACTGGCTTGAAATAAAGGAATGGGGCAATTTGGGGAATGACCTGTAAGAGGGGTCAGCTAATTATGGACCACTATCCAAATTTAGCCAGACAGCTGCTTTTGTTAATGAAGTTTTATTGGAACACAGCCATGCCCATTTGTTTATTTATGGCTGTTATGACTGCTTTCACACTACTATAGCATAGTTGAGTAGTTGCTGCAGAGCCTAAAATGTCTGCTAACTGTTTACAGAAAAGAGTTTCCTGACACCTGATAGAAGCTGAGAGACCGGTTTGCTTCAGCTAGATTTCCAAAAATCCCTGTATTCATACCAGTTAAATGATTTCCCACTTTCCTTCAGAAAAGACTGGCTCCGAGTGATGGAAAATAATATTGGCCCTTGCTACTCAGATTTCAGATAGTTGAATAAAGCAGCAGGCAGGGACATACTGGGATATTACAAAATCTTCCAGAGAGCTAAAAATTACTAGACATTGCAATTGGTATGATAGAACTGAGTGAAGAATGCTGAAAATCAAATTTAGGATTTTCAGGTAGACTGTAAACAGTTCCAGTAAATACCAAAAGGAGCTCTGTAGTGTGGCAATGAAATATGTATGCCTTCAAGAGATTTGCCAAAATAATCTACTTTCTTTTCTTTAATCAGAATATATGGTCTAGAGTGAAGAATAACCAAGATAGTATAAGCTGGGCATACTACTGAAGAACACTTTATCACCAATAAGGTGATTAGGAAGCCTTCTAATGCTTCCTGAACTTACACCCCTTTGGGTGGAATCAGGGAGGAGGAGTGAGAAGTCCATACCTCTCCTGCATCTATATTTAAGTGTTTTTCTAAACGCTATCAATTTTTCAGACAGACCAGACTCAGAGCTGTTTAAAGAATGATCTAGTATCTATCTTATCTGTCTGAGAAAGATGCCTACTGTTGCTTTGTATAACAACTAAAAGAATCCCAAGACTCCTCATTACGGTGGTCCATATAATTTTGTAAGCTATTTTAAGCTACTTGTTTTGTGTTGCTTTGATTACACTTTTCTCATTTTGATAAGTTTGAAGTCTTTTATACATCTGACCTATTTGCACATTACACTGTGGTATAAACTGAGATGCTGTTTGCTGTACAACTTGGCCCTCCTTGTTTAGTCATCTCTGAATATAAAAAGAAGTTATTCAGTCTGTGGTTGTGAGCTATGCCACCTGTGCTTTAAATATAATAACTTATTTAAGAGGATATTTGAAAATAAAATGATCACAATTTGTAGCTCAGGAAGTTCTGATCCTGCTTTCACTGCTTGGCCCATCCTACAATGGCCCCCAAGTGTAGGATAATCTTAGGAATAATTGAATTGCCTTGGTCCATATGGTATGTGCTTGCTTCTCTGATCATACTGGATGAATTTAGTACTCAGGTGCAAAAAATGGTGGACTTCAAATAGAAACAAAGAAAAGCTCAGGTGCCAAAGGATCTTCTTCTGGTACATAAAAGGAAAACTTTCAAAACAAATTAGTATAGACTGAAAAATATAAGAAAGATTTAGAAAATTGATGGGATGGAAGAAAGAGACAAGTTTAATTTAACAAGAAAGTACAAGGAAACCTGATGGCCCACAAAATATATAAAAATGTATTTTATACCTATGGGGGAAAATTATATCCACATGAATGTGAGTATAAATCAGTGAAACAGGAATTCAGGAATACAGAATATCAGGAGACTTTTAACTTTACTCCCCCAATTCAGGCATGATGTCAGTGAGATAGTATGGGAAAGAGAAGGTGAAATTTTGATAAAAAGGGAACAAGTACATAAAGGATGAGGCTTCTCATAGTGTTAGAATGTGTATAAATCAGTATTTAGATATTAAAATATTATATTACCTAAGGACAGATTAAACAGTAAGATCTCTGATACCACAATTATAATAGGCATTTCTCAGGATGCCTTCTGTAAGAGTAATTTGGAAGAATGTATTGTAATTGAAAGTCAGTTGTACGCATAATTCAGGGAAACGTGAGAGACTAAATATATATATAGCTTGCATAGCTGAGACCAAAAGTCCAACTGTGTTATTGTGAATAAAGTTTAATTTATTTTATTTCATTCTTATTATAGAAGTAATTCCTATTCATTATAGTAAGATGAGAAAATTTTATATATGTATATGTATTAAACTTACTATACAAAAACAATCATTGTTTAAAATATTCTCCATTCTTTTTCAACAGAGTAGTAGTGATATAGTAAACATTATGACCTGCTTCAAAAGCTGAGGAATAAGATGAGGTCACATTTTTTAGGTAATGTTTTGTTGACAGATTATATTCATACCCCAAAGTGTTTAAACTATAAATACATAAATCAATTTTCACAAAGTGAACACACTTGTATAACTACCATCCTGGTCAAGAAAGACTATCTCCATCACTCTAAAAGCCCCTTCATGCCCCTTCACATAAACTACACCCTGACCCAGAGAACTACTCTCCTGGAGCCTACCTTTGTAGATTGACTTTGCTTCCTTATGAAATGTATGTACCTGAAATCATATAGTAGGCGTTTTAGTTTGGTTCCCTTCACTTAACATTGTTTGTGAAATTCATCTATATTTTTGCACATATGTATATTTCAGACTTTTTCATTGTTTAAAAGTATTCTATTGTATAATTTAACCTAATTTATTCATTCCTTTGAATGTTGATAAACATTTAGGTGGTTTCCATTTGGGGGTAGTTACAACAGTGTTGCTATAGATATGCTTGTTTATGTCCTTTGGTGCACATATGGATATATTTCTATTGAAAAAGAATTACTGAGTACATATAGTGCATATATTCTCCTTTGGTAGATGTTGTCAATCAATTATCCCAAGTGGTTATAAAAATTTATACTTCAACCAGTGTAAGAGAATTACAGCTGCTACAAGTCCTTAATAATACTTGTTATTGTCAGTTTTTTAAAAATGACTATTTCTGATGAGAAAGTAGAAGTATGTTATTGTGATTTTAATTTTCATTTTCTTCATGAATATTGCCATATGTCTATTAATTTGAGCACATTTTCCATGTGTTCATTGGAAATTTTATATCACTTTTTTGGTGAAATCCCTGTTATAATCTGTGACATTTTCATGTTTGAATTTTCCACATTGATTTGTAGTAGGTCTTTATATATTCATATAATGTCTTTCACACATATGATTTGTCAAGATATATATCTTCCCTCAGTGTGGAGGCTGATATCTATTGATAGAAGATTCTTAATTTAAATGAAGTCAAATTTATTCCAGGTTTCCTTTAGAGTTAGTGCCTTTTCTTCCTGTTTAATAACTCTTTGCTTACCCCCAAGGTCTCCTATTGTTAATGCCAAAATCTTACTGTATAAACTTGACCTTTCAGATTTAGATTTGCACTTTTTTGGGGGATTTGTTTTGAATATTATGTAAAGAATAGTTCAAGAGTTATGTTTCCTCTAAGCATTTCTGTAAGACTTGGCACAATTTATTGAAATGATCATACTTGTTGCATAACTGTTTTACATTTGTCATAAGTCAAGTGGCAATATATATCTGAATCTGTTTTTAAACTCTCTAGTACATGGTAGGTAAAATTTTTTAAAGGACAGATATTAAGTCAATCGTATGTCAGACACTGTGGATCATATGGCAGCCATAAACAATATGTAAGTGAATGGCTATGACTGTGCTCTAATAAAACTTTGTAAAAAGAGACAGCTGATTTACAGGTCACAGTTTGCCAACTACTGTTCTAGTCACCTCCATTGGTCTATTTATCTATCCTTGAATAATAACAGCCTTTATTACTCACTGGTATGTATACATACATATACATATAATGTATACAATATATGTTATATAATAGATGATGAATTAGCTCAGTTTTTATTTGATTGAGAATATTTTTATTTAGCCTTCATTATGAAGAATATTTTTGCTGGGTTAGTTTTTTGTTTGTTTTTATTTTGTTTTGTTTTAGCTATTTAAGGTTGTTATTTCATCTTCTCGTTGTAAACGTTTTGGCTTAAAACACAACTATGAGTGTTTTTACTTCTTTGAAGGTAATGCATTTTTTTCTTTCCTATAATAATCATTCTCTTTATTTCTTCCTTTCTTTCTTCCTTTTTATTTTTATATAATTTTTATGATATGCTTACATGTGATTTAAATTTTATTTATTCTTCTAGGTAGATCACAGAGCTTCTTTAATCTTTGGCTTAATGTTTTCCATCAGTTTGGAAAAGTCTTGTTCAATATATTTTCAAATATTTCTATTTTCTGAACACCAATTACACATATGGTAGAAATTTTTATCTTATCTTATTTAGTTCTGATGTTTATTTCTATATTTGTGTTCTTTTTACTCTCCCTAATTCAGTGCAGATATTTTCTACTGACCTACTAACTAGAATGCTGTTAACTATTCTATTGATTCCTTAATTTCATTTAAACTGTTTTTTTTTTAATTCTAGTACTTTCATTTAGTTCTTCTTTATGGATTCCATTTTTCAAGTATAATTTTTCAACTTTTTAAAAATATACTAATCATAGTGTTCACTGTACATTTATCTTTGTAGCCAGGAATACATCAATACCAGATTAGCACAATGTCTGATATCCCCAGTATCTGAATAACCTGTGGATCTATTTATATTTTCTGTTTCTTTCCACCTTGATTTTCAGCTACTTGATCTTATCTCTTGGCATATCTTGTGGATTTTAAAATTAAACCCCAGACATTGTGCATAAAAATATATCTAGCCTTTGAATGATGCCAGTTTTACTAAAGGAGGAATTATGTTTCTTTTGGAAAGCAGTTTAATTAGTGGAAAATAACCTTAATCCAGTCAGCAATTGAGATGATTAAAGAGTATTTTCAGGGTTTTTTAAAAGCTTCTTTATTTTGGTTTGCTCTTACTAGTAGGGTGTGGTCCTTCAGTCTCGACGGAAGGTCTAGGTTTGATTACTAGAGCCCATTTTCTTTGTAAGACCATGAACTCTTTTTTTTTTTTTTAAATTTCCTCATCCTAGTGGGATTTCTGAAATCCCTGATTAATTTTAGCCTCTCATATGTCAATTTCTGCTTAAGTTTTCAGTATCTTGTACACAGTTTAGGAACTGGCAGAATGCCTCAAGGGAAAAAATAGCCCAAAATATTTTTAAAATCTTATCTTTTAGTGTGGTGCCTGCCTAGGTAACCCTAAACTTCAGTTTTTATCTACCCAGCCTTATGAGACTGTGGGAGACACTGAACTGCAGTTTTCTGCTTGGTCAAAAATTCCAGGATGGGAAAACAGACAATTTGAGACTCACCAAAAGGTATTTCCTTTCTTCCTGGGATCTTAGCCCTTTAGGTCTAGCTGCTTTGTTCTTTCTAATACCTTCAAACAGCTTTTACCTTATTTTATGTTGTTTGTGTGTACGTGTGTGTGTGTTATCTAGCTTCTCTGTTTCTCTTGGTGGGAACATTGATCTTACAGAAGCTAACATTTTTAGCCAGAGCTATTCAAACAAAATAGATCCAAGCTGCCATCTACCTATTACAAAATACATTCCTCATTTTCACATATCCTCCCTCCTATAATACTTTTAGGGATTTTTATGGTGTATCCAAATTGGCAATCTTAGTTACTGTCATTTCAAAGAAAGAAGGAAATCCTGCGGGGAGTTGTGAGAATGATTGTTGTTACTATCATGTTAACACAATTTCACTTGAGGTCCTGAGTTCAATGCTATCTCTGATATCAGGGTACCAATAAGATATATTATTTACTATAGAATTACAACCAGTAATATTCAAAATATATTTTGGCTTTTTTTTTTCCTAAAATGCAATTTGCAGAATTCTCCTCCTTATATACTGGCTGAAAGAATATAGCATCCCCAAAGTCTAAGAAGTAGAATAGCAAGAATCCAAGAATAAGGATGCCATATATGAAAGTATCATTCATGCTTTACTTAAAAGTAATATAGGAGCAATTGGTCAAGGAGGCTTAGAGAACATCTAAGGACTGGACCTAAGTCTCCTCTAGAAATGTTCCTAGAAGATACATTCCTGGGGTGTGCAGGTACAATTTTGTGGTGGATCATTCTCTTCCTAATGATGTAGTCCATTCTACTTCCAAAAAGCTCTAGTTATTAAAAAGATATTGACAATGTATTGAACCCAAACCTCCCCTGGTCTGAGTACTGTCTCTTGAGGCCACATGAACCAGGTTTAATGTCCTGTAACCTGACACACTTTAGATATTTTAAGACAGTCACATTTCTTACATGTTTATCTCCATGAGACCACAGTTCTGGCTTCTGAACTGGCAGTCTCAGGTTTTCACTTGCTGATTTATTGTCTTCTGGAAGTGCTCCAGCTTAAACATGCCTTTTTTGCTACTGTGTCCAGAATTGTACTTAATATTCAGGTGTGTTCTGAATAGCTCAGGATATCATAATCCCCACCACCTTTAAAACAAATTCTCTATACAACGTCTTTTACTCATTTAGAATGTAATGAGCATGTGGATATTATACTATTAAGACATTCTGTCTCTACTACCAGCTAAAAAAATTGAACAGATGTGTCTCCTAAAATACTATATTCTTATTCTCTCTTTTTATTTTTTAAATCACGTTATCCTTATTAAATTTTACATTTTAAGAATTATTTTAGTATTTCTGTCCATTAAGGTGTTTTGGGAGATTCAGTTTCTCACAAACCTTTTAAAAATACATTGCTATGTCCATATAGCCAAGAAGTCCCATTGCCTTTTAATATCCTCCCAAAAAACACATTTCTGTGATCGATTTCACTGCAAGTTACTATTCCCAATGCCACTTGTTGTTATGTGATCCTAATACAAATGGATGAAAAGTGATCTTAGCTTTCATTTTTCTTGTTTCTTTTTAGAAAATAATTTTGCTTTGTACTAAGTCAATAAACATGACTGGTTGTAATGACTTAATATATACATAGAATTAGCCTATTTTAGAAATTTGTGATGGTGTTAAAATGGAAACAAACTCATCTTTTAATAATATCTGTTGTCCATATAATTCATTGAAGTAATTAGTTCTAACATCTATAATATAAAGATGCTAGTCATTCCATTAGGACATTTATGTAAGAGAAAAATAAATTTTATTTTATCTAAATCACTGTTGTTTTGAATCTCTCGTATGACTTAACATAACTGGTAGGTGGTGCAGGAATTTGTTCACAGAATGATGACCCCTACCAAAGGAGATCACACCCTAATCCCCGGAACCTATGAATATGATACCTTATGTGACAAAAGGAAATTAAAGTTACAAGTGCAATTAATGTTTCCAATCAGTCAAATTTGAAATGGGTAGATTACCCAGGATTATCCAGATGGACCCAATCTCATCTCATGAATCCTTAAAAGAGGAAGAAAAGGGTAGAAGAGTTGTTCAGAGAGAAGCAACGTGAGGACTCAGCCCACAACTGTTAGCTTTGCAATGGAGGAAGAGGCCATGGGCCAAGAAATGAGGGCAGCCTCTAGATGCTGGAAAAAGCAAAGAAAACAATTCTCCCTTTGAGTTTCCAGAAGAGGACCCAGACCTGCAACATACCTTGATCTTAGCCTGGTGAGAACTGTGTCAGATTTCTGAGTTCCAGAACTGTAAGATTATACTTGTGTGAGTGTGTGTGGCGTGTGTGTGTGTGTGTGTGTGTGTGTATTGGGCCCAGCCATGCCACTTGCAGGATCTTTGTTCCCTGACTAGGGATTGAACCGGGGCCCTCACCAGTGAAAGTGTGGAATCATAACCACTGGATTGCCAGGGAATTCCCTGTGTGTGTGTTTTTAATTAGTTTGTGGTAGTCTGCTATGACACCAAACAGAAAATGAATACACAGTCTCACACAAAATAGCACAACATTCATTGTCTTTTCTTTTATCTGAAAGAGTGATGAGAATTAACTCTGCAAACATATACTCCAGGTAGGAACAAGCTGAGTAGTCAAGCAAAATTCTTTATCACCTTTTAAAATGTCAGTAAGATGTTAATTAATTGTGAAACCAAATGATCTTGGCTGTTTCTGATATTATATAGGCAAGCAGCACATTGCTTGCCTGCCTTGAAGCCTGTCACCCGTGCCTGATACACTCAAATAAAACCTAAATTTAAATGACAGAGATCTTAAAAAAAATACTAAAAACCTCACTTCAGATTTTTATTTACTTAATATTTTTGAAGAGACAGTGCAGTATTTATTTATCCCAATGCTGCTCTCCGTTCCCTTCTTCCTATCCTTGCTAAGCTGCTCAGATCCAGGATACTATCCGGTAACCCACCGCTCCCCATACAGCCTCTGAGGAACACTTGCCTTCCACTCTTAACTGATTTTTTGTTTTTCCCTTCTGGCTCATTGTGTATCACCCTGAGAATGTTAGCACACATCTTAAATGTGAGACAAACATTATCTAAGCCACTTCCTCTATTTTTATGTTATTTCCTGAAGAAAAGCTGAATGCTGCTGATACTATAAAAAGCCAGTGATGCCGTTGTTTAAGAGCAATCAGAAGTCTTTTTGTGCCTCATTCATCACCAAAATTGTCAGCTCAGTTCTAATTGCAGAACCTTACTACTCCTGTGATGTGAATGAGAAAGAACACAGCATGATTCTGAGAATTCGGGTTCAGTTCACTGCCTGGCATGAGAAAAGGAAACTTTTTATTTGTAAATAGAGAAAGGTCATTGACAGGTTGAATGCGTATGATTTTACTTTCCAACAAGTAAATACTAATCATTTTTATGTAGTAAGACAATAACATCTTTTAAACAGAATGTTTTTTTAAGGCCCATTAAATTTCTACAACCAAGAGGACAATTTTAGTTTCTGTTACAGAAAAATGCCATAAATTCTGATATTGCTGCAAATTACAGGTTAAAATTAGTTGATTTTTACATATCTCAAGGAATTCCTTATTTAAAAGAAAGTGGGAGAAACCTACACTACTAAGTGCCATCTCAAACTCTGTAACTCTCTGAAGCTCATGTTTATTTATTTTAAAGTAGAATTTCCCTTGGTCAAATAATCATTTTGAGTTTCGGTGAGATGAATGTTCTAAATAGTATTCTGGTTAAAAAGGCTCTGCTTCCCAACTTGAGATAAGAAAAAAACATAATGCATGTATCCCGGGTTTATGAGTTTCTATAAAAGTCATTATTCTTAATATCTGCACATAAACACTATGCCTCTGGATTCAGTGTCAGAAAGGTATTAGAAGGGAGACTTTTAAAGTGATATTAAAATGATATTTGATGTTGAATCTGCAACTAATTTGGGTAATGAGAGTTTACAGAATACGATGTGCAATATTTCTTTTGTCATTTTAGGATTCACAATATATTTTATATATAAGACATTTTTAACAATTCTTGAAAATATCTGCAAACGCCCGGGTGTTTTCTTAAATATGCTCTCCCAATATATCCTTATAAGTTGGTCTCAATGCCTAAAAAATCATTTGATGGAAACTGCTTGTAAATTGAATTCTTAACTTGGGTGTCACTAATGCAAATTATCAAATGATATATAAAATAAGTCAATTCTAATGGGATAATGTATGATCAAAATATAGCACAAATTTTGGAAAAATGTAAACCCTAAAAATTTCAGTTCCTTTACTTAGAATTATAGTTGTATCAGGATGTTAAAATGAAACTTCTGCTGTCTCAGTATTTCAGCTGAGGTCACAAAGATTTGAAGAATGGGTGTTAAATACCCACTAATTTGAAAGTGAGGTACCAGACCAGCTGTGTAGAACTTGCTAAGAGGTAACTCATAAGACAGATGGATAAACACTTGTCTGTGAGCTGCCTCAAGCCAATAGGAAGGGAAGTAGGAAGATCAATAAGAGAAAGATCATAAGAAATAGGTTTCTGTAGGAAGAGTTGTACATTTCTCCTTTCTTTTCCATATCTGAAGCCAAGTGAGGAAAGTAAGAAATTGCCTCACACAGCATGATCATGCTTACCACCAGGAGGGAGACTAATCTGGGGCAAGGAAATGGAGAGGCCCTCAGTACTTGACCTTGTTTCCTGGAGTTGGGGGAACAAGCTTGGTGTTGACCCATTCTTGGTGAAGTCTGATGTCAAGAGGCTGGGCTGCCTATAGCTGCCTGACTGGTTGACTCACAGAGAGGGCTTTCGTGGGAGCAAATTTTATTTTCACTGACCATAGGCAGCGGTGCATGAGACCTCATGGAACTCCCAAAGTTAACTAGCCTTGAATTATTTTGAAAATAGTCCCACCCAAAGGACTTCCTACCTGAGGAAAGATGATCCTGGCTGAAAGAGGCAGGGGTATACTGTCCAATGCAGAGGGAATGGGCAAAGGTGGAAAGGGCAAGACTTGCAAAATTCCACCTGGGGACTACGTTATTACTTTAGGCAATAGTGCTAAGCAAGATCTACAATAAAGATGGGGAGATTTCTGGCCCTCCATAATTCCAAGAAGAGAAAGAGCCAGCACTGTGCCATCAGCCACACCATTCCAGATTATAACATTCTGGCCATGCCTTCTCTCTTCTTTCTCTGCTCCAACCCTGAGGAGCCAGAGGCAGCAGAGTGAGTGGAGCAGGAGAAGAGTAATACAGTATCTGGGAAGGAGAAGCTTTCCTCTGCCCTTCTAGGTTACTCTGGCTAGTCTAAGAATTAAACTTAGACTAGCATGAGACAGATTAACAAAAGAAATATCAAACAAATGTTTAATAACATGTATACATGGGAGAGACCCAGGAAAACTGAGTAACTCATCAAAATGGCCAAAGCCCTCACCTTAAATACCATTCTCAGCTAAAGACAAAAGAGGATGTTGAGGGTAGGGGAGGTTACCAGGAAAAGCACAGTAAACAAGGGTAAGGTTGTTATGCAGATTTAAGTCAAAGCTTTTCCATTGATATGTTTCTAGAGATTTGGTCATCCTCTTCTTCCTGGTACAGTGGAGGGAGACCCTTACAAAATTAAGATTTACCTTATAAATATTTCTCACTAAAGCGTAACTCCTACTTGGTTTTCGGAGTTTTTTCCATGTCTACTGTTTCTTAGGAAATAACCAGCTTAAAATAATTAATATGCCAAAGAGACATACTTTGGAGTGGCAAATTTTGCTCTCCTACAGCAGATAAATAGTAAAGAAAAAAAAAAAAAGAAAAGGAAAGAAACCTTGCCTCTTTCTCTAGTGCTGATTTCTGAGCCTGATCAGTTTCTATCTGGGGTTGCAAAAATCACAGACTTTAATATTTAAGTATGACACTGTTTATTATACTTGAAAGTGAACAGAAAAGTTATCAGAATTCCACAAGCTTTTACCTAGAGACGGGAGAATTGGCATAATAAGTTTAATAGGATTGTAGTGAGGGAGGAAAAAAACAACACTCCTTTCTATTTGCACCTGGCAGAATTCAGCTCATTCATTAAATTCACTGCATTACATTCATGAAAATTAGGAATATTTGGATAGATAGGAATAACTGCTATCCATTTTCTAATTCAAATAGGAATTTTTATTTTGGATCCCCCAGAAGAAGACCCTGGAGCAAGGATTGAAATCCAAGTTATGTATTTTGGAGATGATTCCGAAAAGCATCAGTTGGGGTTAGAAAGTAAGAGAGAGAAAGTAAGGCAGCCAAAAAAGTGTTCATTTTCAAGCAAGTTTTACACTGTTGGTTACTAGAGCTTAATCCTGCTGGGAGAACTCTGGGAGCCAGTGTTCTTACATCAACTGCTATCAGTCCCTGCTAGAGAGCTACATCTCTAGCAGTGCCAGTCTGTCATGTAGATGGCCAAGAGATACTACCAGCAAGGGCAGGTACTCAGCAAAAATACATGTGCTGGCAAGAGTCAGCACTGTGGTAAGGTAGGCAAGAACATACGAACAGGGCACTGACAAAATCAAGAATGTGCAATGGATCACATATTAAGATGGGGGAAAATATACAGATAGTTCAATATTTTTTACTGGAAAATTTTAAGAATGATTTAAGTTCTGTCTTGGGGAACTTTCTCTGTACGGTGTCTGAAGCAAAGGATATTGAATAACTCCTGTAGTTTTCTACCAGAAATTTATAAAAAGGAGTCATTTTTATTTGTACTAAAGATTTGGTTTTTAAGCTTTAAAACTATTTTTCACTAGAAATGTTTTAAAAGAGAAACATTCCCTTTTGAATAAGAATATAATATTCTCTGATACTTAAAAACCAGTGGGAGTTAACTCAGGTCTTTCTAACTCTTATGTATGTGATAAAACTGAATTAAGCCAATGCACCAAAGTATTATAGAATGCTCATTAACACAATTTTTAAACAATTATTTCTGTAACTACCAATTTAAATCATCTATTTATTAATTGCATATTCAAGATATGAACACATTTGGAAAGCATATTAACATTAAATAATTACGTATTTCTATTAGGTGTTATACACTAGGCAGAAGCAATACAGTGGGGAAGATAGACAGGATTCCTGTCCTCTAGTGGTGGAGGCAGATATAATAGTAAGCAAATAATCTAATGTCATACAGTCACATAATGAATATGCAATTACAAACTGGAAAAGTGATATAAAAGAAAAATGGAGTGCACTTTGGAAATTTAAGTATTATGATAGATTTTATTTTTCTTATAAATTCATATCTTTTGGACTCTCCCACATACCAGGTTAAAATAACAGAATGGGGAACATACTCTTCAACTCATGACTCAAAGCATAAAGCATATGTCAACAGAATTAAACAGTATCAAAAGTCAGACTACCATTTAGAAACAATAACCATAGGCAGTCAGAATGGCTAAA